ACTGATTAGCTCAGTTAAATAAAAATGTCTTGAGTTGCTTTCCCCCCCCCCAGCGTGTATTGGGCAGGGGTTCCATGGGAACGACAGCTGCTTAACTGAGAGAATCATGGGAAAGATAAACATTGCACAATACTGATATTTTAATAAGTACTTTGGAAGGGAAGTGTTTCTTATTAATTAGTTAATTAATTAATTAATTAATGTAGCAGCTGGGACAGTATGGAGCTTAGTCTGGGAGATGATTTATGGGACCTGTGGTTGAACAGTCATACACTATTAGTCAGGATCAAACTATGCAGTCAACACGCAGGGCGGGCAATCATACACATGTTTACTCAGAAGCCGATGGTGCAGATGTCTGCCAAAATGCATATCAGCTTCTAGTTGGGCGGCCCAATGCCAGCTCAACTGTAGTGTGTTTAGTATGGGCAGGAGCTTCCCATGTGCCAGCTCCATTGGCGAGCCAGCTGCTGTGCTGCCTGAGGACAAAAAAAAAAAAAAAGGTTAGAGAATCATAAAATCGTGGAGTTGGAAGGTGCCTATAACGCCATTGAGTCCAAACCCCTGCTCAATACAGGAACTGAAATCAAAGCCGATCTGACAGTTGTTGTTGTTCAGTCGTGTCCGACTCTTTGTGACCCCATGGACCAGAGCGTGCCAGGCTCTCCTGTCTTCCGTGGCCTCCTGGAGTTGGGTCAAATAGATCGGACGGAGGGTTGTCCAATTTTCTCTTGAAGGCCCCCAGCGTTGGAGTGCTCACCACTTTCCAAGATAATCGTTTCCGTTGTTGTGCTTCTCTAACAGTTAAGGGGAACAGAGAAGGGGAAGAATGGGAGGGGAGAAGAGTTATTCCAGAACCAAGCCCTTAGATCAGACTCACAGTCACTATGCTAGCAGAAGGTTAGGCCAGGAGCAAGGTAACCATAATAATTATTATGTGCTGTCAGGTCAGTTCTGATTTATGGCAACACTTCCCAAAGTTTTCTAGGTAGACAGCAATCAGACACGGCTTACCATTTCATTCTTTTGCGGGGACTTTGGGACAGGTCCACTTGCTCAAGGCTGCATAGGCTGGCTCTTCTCCCAGGAGGCAGAGTGGAGAATCCATTTCCAACCTCTGACTTTGCAGTCAAATGTCCAGCCGACAGAGCGATCTTGGGTCAAAGCAGTCCTATGCAATTTCCAGCTTCCTCAGTCTCCGCTGGTTTAGCGTGAGCTCAGCCCGTCCATAGCCATCTTGGTTGGTTAGGATTGTGGATAACCAGCTTCGTATGGAGGTGCAAAGTGGGAAGGGGGAAATGGAACAAGACAACTTGTAGCAATAGCAGTAGAAGATGGGAACAGCAGGAAAGGAAGACGATCCATGAGAAATCAAAGAGGAAATAGGATGAAGGAGGCTTTCCATTGATAATAGCAACCAGTGTATGATGAGAAGTAGTAGATTTACATGTGACCGTTGTCATGAATACAGAAAGTTGAGTTCTAGACTTAACCTGCAACTGGTTTCATCTCAAAGAGAAGACGCCCACATGTCACATTCTTAGAAGAGACTCTTATTTGGGCAGATTCAGTGTGAATGAGGTATCAGGTCAAGAGGTGAAACCAATATATATGTTTAAATAAGTTGGTTTCACACTGAATCTGCCCAAATAAGAGTATATACACTTTCTTTTTAAAATCTCATCAGCTTTCTGCCGAGGGAACAGGAAACAACATCTCCGTAAAATGTCAGCATGAGGAAGACGTTAAATGTGTGATAAAATGAGAAAGAGAAAGAACCGGAATAAAGCCGGCATTAGCAGCCCATGGGTCAGAGCAAATACATCAGGTACAATAAAACCACTCTACCCACCAAGACTTAAATGAACAGGACAGATTTTGCCCCCCAACAAAAGCTATTAGTGGGGGCACCCGATGCGCCCCCTTGGAATTAAGTCCCCCTACCCACATTTGGCAGGAGAAAAGACCCTTTCTCCTGTAGGTGCTGGCCTCTGAGAAGGCTCTCGGGGAATAAACTCCAAGGAAGGTTCTTTCCCATTTCTTGGAATCAACAGCTTTTCCAGTTTTTTTGGAATTGGCAGCTCTCCTCTATCTTGGAAGTAACTTTCAGTTGAGAAAATTCCAGTTTCTTGTAATTAACAATGTTTTCCTTTCCCTTTTTTTAAGAGTAATGTTCTCATGAGAAATATTGGTCAATTGCTGTGCAAGACCGCTGAGATACCAAAGGTATTCTTTCTTTGTTATATTTATTTTATTTATTTATTTGTCATTCTGTTGCTCGTGTTTCAGGCTCCACCCCAAGGAAGTCACGCCAGATGAAATTCAAAATGCAGGGCTGGCAGCTGTCCGTCGACATCAACAGGAATTGCAGGTGAAGTACTCTTGCCCACGTGAGGCTGGAGTAAGGTTCCAGAAACCGGTAACTTTGAGGAATCTGTGAATCACAGCGGTTGTAACAATACACTTGAATGGACAGGCGAGTGTTGTATATATGTACACTTTCTGTCCATGGGAATAAAGCAGTTACAAGCAGCTGAAAAACAGGTATGGATTGGGTTTTTTTGGTGCTGGCAAAAGTAAGCACTTTTGATGCTGGTGTCAACATGATAAAGGATTTATCATATACACTTCTCTCTTGAATTGCACCAGTCCGAGCAGCACAATAATGAACACAAGGCATTTCTGATTTTATATATGGCAAATGTCTCTGTTACTACAATCTTGAGTGTCACTTTGCTTGCATGAGAAGTTAATGTGATGGAAAAACAGTAAAACGAATACTTAGTGTTTCCTCTCTTTGAGACTGGAATGCGTATTGAACATTGCCAGCCAGTGGGCCAGTGTTTCATTTTCCATATTTACTGACATATTCTTGTTAGGATTTTGGGACACTTAGTTTCTATAGCTTAGCTAACTCTATTGGTATCCCATTTACTCTCAGTGATTTATTTCCTCCAATTGCTTTTATAGTAGATTTGACCTTGCTTTCTAAAACTGCAGCTTCTTCATCAAATGATCCTTCCTTGAGCAATTCTTGCTTTCCTTTACATCACGTTAAGCAAAGGCTGAGAAACATCTCCACTCAAATCTTCCAGCTTAGCCCTTCTACTGTGTTTGTATGTTGTGTCTTGGTGGGAGGAGCAGGGCAGTCTGCTTACTCTCCAACATAACTGCTGTGTTTTGAAGCATAACCTGCATATGGCTCAGCGTGGAGTCACATTTCCTCGAGCCAGATCTCGTTCTCAGGCTTGATTCCCAGCTTATGCACTATTGGCTTTGATCTTATCAAGGCTCAGAAGGTAACTGGGGTCATGCTGGGTCAGTTTTGAGCAATGGGCTGCACAAAAGCTAGGGCTGATAACTTTGCCAAGAGCATGTGAAGCTGTCTTCAATCACACCTCGGGCCCATGTTTGCCCCTTGATGGTTTCCACAAAGCTCAGAAACACTACAGTGTCTCTCTCTCTCTCTTTTGGCCTATGACATTCAGAATCCTTTGGCCAACTATCAGGCCTGAGGGATTCATGTGTCTGCGGTACAACCCCCTCCTCTTCCAAGGTTTCCTAGCTCTAGATCATTGGTTCCCAACCTTAGGTCCCCAGATGTTCTGGGACTAAAACGCCCAGAATCCTTCACTTTTGCTATTAAACAAAAATCCGTCAAAAGTAGCCTCAATCACTCCCCATTGAAATTGTTTTAGAAAGTGACTGGGCAAATTTGTGGACAATAAGTCTATCGGTGCAATTTTTCGTGATGATGATCAGCAACTTCCAAGTTTCAACCTCAAAGGAGAGCCACTCTCTTTAAGCCTGCTTCTGGGGAGGGATGTTGGCAAGTCTTTGGGTCCAAGTCCCGAGTCTGAGTCATTGGTCGCAAGTCATCCCAAGTCCCAAGTCCCTATTGAAAATAAGTTGGTCGCAAGTCATCCCAAGTCCCTATTGAAAATAAGCCTGATCCTGAGTCACAAGTCAAGTCTGAGTCAATGAAAAAAGGAAAAAAAGGAACATCAATCAAGTCCGAGTCAAGTCCCTGGTGTGACTTAAGTTTGACTTGACAGCAAGTCCTGTGATTTGAATCCCCATCCCTGTATATGGGCTTCCCGGAGGCCCTTCTCTGGATCACTGTGGGAAAGACGGTCCCTATGTTTTGTTAACTTTTCTCAGTGATCACCATGATCACACATCTCCTGAAAAGGACAAAAGCTGACCCAATAGCTATAAATACTCAACTCCCAAACAAACAGCACCAGAGCACAGAGTGCTACTCCAGTCCTCTGAAGAGGCCGGGCCACAGAGACTGGTGAAACGTTAGGAAGAACAACCTTCAGAACATGGCCAAAGAGCCCGAAAAACCCACAACAACCATTGGCTCCTATTTTATTTTATTTTTAACTTTCAAAAGATTAAGTTTAGTCTCTTTGCCTGTCAGACACCTGGAATGATGTGGAACAAGAAAATTAGAACCAATGAAAAGCAACCAACCCATAAAAAAGAGAAAACTCTAGAAACAACCTCACCAGTTCCACCATAAAATAACATCTGTGCTTCATAAAGGAAATCCATAAGCTATAAGGCCATCATGGAGTATTAATGTGAGTACACACAGCCCACTTCAACTGTGTTCCTCTCATTGGGTTAGTAGAAAAACAAAACGGGGAAGACACCGATAAGATAGCTACCTGTTCTGTGTGAATTGGGAACTAGGCTTAGTTTCCTCCCAAACAAACCAGGATCAGAATCCAGCTTGACACCAGTTTTGACTTGAGCATCCTTGACTTTTTGGAAGCAGAACCAGATCTCCTAATTCTCACACACAAGGGGAAGCCCTGGCCAGGTGCGGAATGCTGGTTTGCTTTGTTCAGGGAGAAACAGCAAGGAAGGCATCACATGCAGGAACCCAGCATTTGTACACATCCTGGCTTATTAAGCCAACATTGCAAGTTTGGTGTGACATGCAAACAGGACCCCTTTCTGCTGAAAGAAATACGACAATTCTGGAATTCTGAGATGCTAGTGGAGCTTTTTATTCTCTTTTTAATGCTGTTCAACAGACCATCTATTGATAATAAAGATCTCTGGTTCTTTTGTTCTGCGTACGAGATGACCGCCCTGCACCCATCTTGTACATAGCTTATTGTTTTCTATGGGATGATGGGACTAATCAATCTATAGAGGTGGGAAGGGCCTTTGCCATGTGGCCATTAGATCTGTGGTGGTCACCACAAAGCCCTCTCCATGTGCTGTTGTTCACACCTGTGTGGCCTTCCGTCGTCTTGGTTCTCCAGAAAGGCTCTCTCCAGGAGCAGAAGGACGTCCGTCTGGCCTTCTCCCCGTGGCTGTTCCGGGGACTTCTTCCGTGGCACCCTGAGCCGAGGGGAATATTGCGTCCTGCTTGCCTGTCCTCTTCAAAGTCCTCCTTCCGGGCATCTCAGTTCTTGCTTGTCTCAAAGGGCCGCTTGGCCATGTTGTTTTTCAGCAAAAGCATGAGTTGGCTGGGGACGATCTGCGGGCTGATCCGTTGCCCACAATGTCGAAACACCTCCTCAATGGACTCCACGGCCGCGTTGGCCACGGCCGCGTCACAGTCGCCTTGAAGTTCTCGGAGCGCTGGAAGAGGAAGAGATCAAACGGTCGGTGTTGCCAGCGAGCTTGAAAAAACAAGGCTGCCAGGTGAGAGACCTATGCATATTTTCTAGAAGGATGGGGAGGGCAGGAAAAGGGCACGGTGGCCTCTTGACGCTGAAGCTAATGATGGATAGCGGCTGCCCATTGAAATGTTTATATTTAAGTTCGAGCTTTCGGGAATACATGAAATGTCTAAGTGTTCAGGGATTTTTAGAATGTATTTTAAATTTTGTGATTTTGATTTTGTATTATTATTTTTCTACATAGTTGAGTTGTACTTTACAATTTGATTTCTGAATATTGGTATTTTTCATTTTATGCTATAAATGCACAGAAGGGCCTCAGCCAGATGGGCAGTGTATAAACTGAATGAATGAATGAATGAATGAATGAATGAATGAATGAATGAATGAATGAATGAATGAATGAATGAATGAATGAATGGATGGATGGATGAATCAGTGAATCAGTGAATGAATGGAGTTATGAAGAGCAACCTCATAACTCTGAAGGAGGACATTGAAGTCACTCTGTCTACTCTCATGATAAGGCTAGAAGGAGCTGGCTGGTCACAGCTGCTCTTTCGAGTACTTGGGGTGTTTCTTAGTCAAAAAAAGGGCAGGAGGAAGTCCTTTCCCCAACATTTTCCTCAAGGAGCCCTAGTTTCCTTAAGGGTGGCACCATTCCTGTGAACCTGGAGGAATGGGTGACTGTTGGAGGAATGGGGGAGGTAGTTTCAGGCATCATGTATTTGCACACACATGGAGAAAGCACAGAAAAATGGGATGACTGGTAAAAAAGAAGCAAACACTCAATCCACTGCTTCTGATTCTGGAATTCCACACAACAAGACAATGGTGATTCTAGTTCCGTGTCATTTGCACAAAATTAGTCAGTTGTGGAAAATGCATACAAATTGCAGAGTCAGAGTGGGGAGAGAAAAAACACGTACAACCCCTTGTCCTTGTATGTCAGCATGAGAGAAGGGGGAATTTACATCCTTCTTGTTATGGCACCAGTCATAAATACAGCTGCATCATGGTAGGCCCAACTCTGTCCTACAAAACTTTGCCCAAGTTTCTCCCAGAGTCTTCCATCTGAGGCAACTGGCAAGTTACAGGAGGCAAAATTGGGACCCATCCATTGGAGTGAATCAGTCCCAAGATGAAAAGTTACAGAGCTTTTGCAAAGGAAACAGTCTCATGCTATAAAGTTTCCTTGTGTTCTGTCCCATCCAGTCAGAACTAGCTTATAGCTAATCTAATAGGGCATTTAAGGTAAGCGAGATTATTTAAGGACATCTTTTACCAGTTCTACTTCCCCAATGAGCTTCAATGGCCAAATGGGGATTTGAACCTTATTCTCCAGAGTCCTGGTCTGTCACTCTGTCCACTACCCCACAATGAGAATCCCCAGAGAGCTTTCTTACTCACCCAGAAAAACATTCTCAACTTGTTCTGTGCTCACCACATTTGACTTCATTATCTGTGCGTTGGATGCTAGGCAGATCAACAGAAAATCCTGAGGTCAAATATTTGATACTTTGCCCAGATAACAAGGTTAACCAGCCCCTTCTATATACAATGGACAGCCTGACAGCTCTTGGATGATGAGATCACCAAGCCAGTTAATCAGTTCAGCTCTCAGTCATTATTTTTCGACAGAGTGCTGTTTATTTAAATCTATGAAGAGTTGTGAGTAAAATGGAACTTTTAAATTATTTCTCATTACCAGAGTCTGTGAGTGCATGTATTGAGACAATTAAGTTTCAGTTGTGGTAAATTAACAAATAAGAGGTGGTCTGCTGAGGAGAGGCTTAAAGCTAATTCTGCTCTGTAGGTCCCTGAAGTCTTTCTGCTGCATAATTAGAGGTTTTTATGCCATTAAATGTTCATATTCTGCCAAGAGGAAGAACCACTTGACTTGTTGTAGCCAATTTGTATAAAAATGCCTCCTTTTCAGTCTGGTCTCACTTTGGTGTTCACTTTTGGTGCATCCATGTTGACAAAAATTCGGGAAATACTATGGGATTGGAAAGGGCTTATTTACATTTTCCCCCAGTTGAACACAGAACATAAAAGCAAATGCAAATCAGCCCGAAATCCCCCACTCCCGTCTATAGTTTTTTTTCCTCTGCTGCTGGCGCTTCTACTTTTTTGGCATCATTTGCATTTGCATTAGTTCAGGTGGTATGATCACCTGAACTGATGCAGAAAAGTGGGGTGCTGGTGGTGGGCACAATGACACAGTCGCTGATGTGGGGGGGGGGAAGAAACAACTTCATGTTGTTTCTTTTGACCAGCAGAGTTGTGGGGAAATATTGACTATGTGTTTTAAAGTTACTTGCTTTAAAAACCAGCCCAAACTGGGAATCTTGGGGGAAAGGAGCAAAAAAAAAAATCTTTGTAAATAATTTTTTGTTTAAAAACAAAACAAAAACACAATTTGATGCCAATGCTGTTGTGCAAGATACAGGTAAGATAAAGAGAGAGAGAGAGAGACTGAAACAGGGAATGAAAGAACAGGAAGAGGGAACTGCTGTGCTATGCTTGTTTACAGTTCATTCTTTAGTTCTCTATTGCCTCCTATAGGGCCACAAGATAGAAATGTTAACCAGCTGCAAACAAGGCTGTTTAGCCCATTTCCTCCTCTCCTTGCATTGCCAGTTAACATGAACAGACTGGGAAAATGTGAATACCCTGGTGTCACTTCACCGTGAGTGACTCGTATTTCTCTGTGTAGCTACACCCTTAGATAGCCTGTGTCACACTGCATTGTATCTCCCCCTCCAAGGACCCTCAAGGGTTCCGGCTAAAATCCCCTTCTGCAACCCTACGTATACTGATTGATCCCCAGAGTTTTGTTTTTGATTACCTATTAATATGGCCCCTGCTTCTCGGAAAGAAGCGTTTCTGCTCCTTAGATAGTCAACCATTTGGGCCAGCATTTCTGGAAACTTGCTTTTATAATTCCATACCTAAAGAAAAGAAGAAAGCAGTCAAAACAAAGCTTCGACTTTCCTTAAAAATGCATTCCTTTGCAAATTTTTTAGAGCCCTCACATTGAAAACTGTCACATTTATATTCATTGAGAAATCAGTGCTGAAGCAGACATTATAAACAACCCGTGATTAAAGTGGGAAGTGTGTGGCTGTTGGGACGGATGTAATTTAGGCAAATCTGTTTGTGTGGGAGGATGAATTTTCCTTGGGGGGTAGCAGCAGCAGGAGGCAGTCCAGTGGAACTTCAGAGCTTGCAAAATAAGCCATGGGGGGGGGGCTGATTCTTGCCCTTGTCCACGGCTCCGAATTGCACACAAGTGCATGTAACCTCTTCGGAAGGAGGCAGCCCCGCACCGCCCCCTGTCCGGCTGGGATCCTCATAAATGCATTGGCTATTGCGCAGCATGATCTGTGGACACCAAAACACTCTGTTATAGGCTGCCCCATTCCTGCAGATGGCGGGCGAGCCCGGTTGCTTGCAGGGGACCAAGCACGCCGCTCCCCAGAGTGTGGACTTAAACTTTTGTGACTGAGAAATCAGACGTCAAAGGAATCCCATGTTTCAGTCCTGAAGACCAAGCACAAACAAAGGACTTTTGTGATTGAGAAACCAGACATCAAAGGAATCCCATGCTTCAGTCCTGAAGACCAAGCACAAACAAAGCACATTATTTTGAAAATTATGTGAGGTGAGAAAAAAGTCTTGTTCTGATCCTGCTCCCTCCTTGAATGTTAAAATATCTGGTTTTCATCATGGAAGCGTTTCGTTCTTCCCATAGTTTGTAAATTACTTTGTGTTTTGTTTTGTGGCTGGTCCTCTGGATGTAAACACAGGCTTCGCTTAAAGTACGGCAGCTCAGTTATGCTGGAACCGTGTCTCTAGAACACTAAGAGGACTTCTAAGGTGCTATCTGTCATGTAAACCTTGACTCTCATTTCCAAGGACAGTGAATTTAGGGAGGTCAAAGGGTTGGTGCAAAGAGATTGACTATCGCGTTGGCAGAAGAGTCTAGTTGAGTCTAGGCCCCCCCTGAGTTTGTCTGTTGTGGGAAACAAGGAAAGGGAGGGAGAGAGGGAGAGAGAGAGGAAGGAATGACAGAGACAATTAAACAGGGATCTTAAGCAGGGAAGCCAACCCTGGGCCAGTATCATCTGTGCTCTTGGTTTTTAATCTAATCTTTACAGGATGCCAAACCCTGTCCTGAATATGGACTAAAATCCACAGGTTGCTCGCTTAGGCGAGCCCTAAATCTCAGACCTCGAAGCTGAAGGGGCCGTCTCTTGCATCTGCGGGCCTCCTCCCATTCCTCCTGGCAACCTCACCCCTTCAGAGGAAAACCCTCCAGCTCCTGCAGGGAACGGCCAGCACCTACAGTCTCTAGATCAACAAGGGTGACCGGGAAACAGTCAACAGCAGTCGCAACACCCCTGTGCCAATTCACAATGGCAGGTGGTCAGAATATGGGTTCCTTCAACTTTGTCCCCTTTGTTAGTCAACCTCTTTTGGCGCATCAGGAGTGGGAAAAGCACACCACCCCAGAGGCCCAGATGCGGGGCTCAGCACCCCTAAGGCCTCCTGGTCCCTCCTCAGCTCCGAATTAAGAACCCTCTTTCACTGGGGTGTGGGAGGGGGATGCGGTCATGTCCGGTGGTTGTGGTGGTGGTGGATGTGAGGGGTGCCTCCACTGTTAGAGCAGTACGATGATGGAATCTATGACCTCCCTAGGGAGGTGGTGAGCGCTCCAGCGCTGGACCCCTCCTCGCACACACCATGGATGGGTCTCTCAGACCTCTGGTGGTTGCTCCCTTCCTGGCCTAATGATACTTTATACCCCCTACGTGAGCCATTTCATGAAAGTCCCGAAGGTGAGGTAGGTGGTTCCCCTACCAGCCCAAACCATAGGACCTCCCCTTTCCCAGAGAAGAAGGCTGTCTGATCTCTCTGTCAGCACACGCAAGACAAGCCATGTCGACTTGGGCAGAGGTGCAGGGGGCCAACCCCCTCATGGTCTATGGCGCTCTCTACTGGCCAGTTCTGGTAACTTCATTGTTACAGAAATATGTATTTTGGGGACTTTCCTTTTAATATTTCTAATGCTTTCAGACCGTGGATAAGTGAATCAGCAGACCAGAGAAGAAGGCTGTCTGATCTCTCTGTCAGCACACGCAAGACAAGCCATGTCAACTTGGGCAGAGGTGCAGGGGGCCAACCCCCGAGAGCGCCAGTCGAAGTCTTACTCACGATGTACTTGCAGATGTTTAAGTAGGTGACGTAGAGATTTTCGTAGATTTCATAATTGAATAGGTTCTGGGGCAGGTCCACCCATTTCATGAAGTCGGCACAGCTGAAGAGAGCCTTCCTGGCGGCCTGGACCAGTGGAGATGAGAAAGAGAGGGCAAAACGGGTCTCCCGTTACAGAGGTTGCTTTTTAATTTTTTTTAAACCGTGGTGGCTGACAAGGGAGACGTTCTCCTTACCTTCTCCACCTATGGTGGAGCTGCTACCCAATGGGCTGAGCAGAGGAGAAACACAGAGATGCATCAGGATTGAGGAAGGGTACACCCAGACCATATTTCCGGCAGGTAAGGAAACAAGAGCCACCAGCAAGGGGGAAAGAAACCGTCAGGACACGTTTTTGACTCAGTTCCTAGCTACAGATGGGGACACAAGTCAAGATGGACCTGCAGTCACGATGGACAAGTCACACCCATGACTTCAGCCAGACTCGACTCCATTTCTTCTTCTTTGGTGACTCAGAATCAACTTGTATCTCGGGGGGGGGAGGGGAAGCTTGTTTTTAATGGGGACTTGGGACTTGGTACCAAAGACTTAGACTCGGGACTTGAACTCAAAGACTTGCCAACCTCCCTGGTTCAAGCAGAACAGAGGTTTTAGGAGGCAACAGTCAAAGGACTGCACCATCAGCTCGTTCACAGAGGTCTCGTGCCTCAAAACAGGACGAAAACCCTTGCTTGTGTGTCGAAAGAGGGTCAGGGCTAAAGCAGAACCTGAGCACAGGGGGAAATGAGCCAGCAAGAAGAGCTCCAGCTGTTCCTCCCTGGGGGAGAAAAATAAACTCTTCTTAGTCTCAGGTCTTGTAATAATCCAGATCCTTCAATCAAAGCCAACCTATTGAGGGCAGGCAACTGCTTTCCCCTGCTTTCTGTGATTGCTTGTGCTTTATGGGGGCTTGTTAAGGCATACAAATAGGGGCCACGTTCCCTACAATGGCTGTCTTCCAGATGTGTTGCCCTATTGAAAAACCCCTTGCCCAGCATGGCTTTTGGCCAGTGGAGGTTGGCGACTCTGATTTTGCAAGGGCAGTGAATCCACTCCGAATTTTAGTCCGCACTGAGGATTCGGTTCAGATATCAGAGCGCTCCTAGAAAGTTCGGATGAAAAAAAAAAACCAAGACGCAACCCGCACCGCATGGGAAACACAAGACTTCCATTGCCTCTGGTCGTGTTGGGTGCAGAAGACAAGCCCCCCCCCATCAAGCAGAGCACAGGAAATGGGGCCCCCTCCTTCGACTCACTTCTTTGGACCAAGGGTCTGCCAGCAAAATTAAGAGGGGAACGAAGCCTCTCAAGACATCTTCCGCCACAGAGTTCCTACTGTTTTCGTCCACGCCCTTCAGCAGGATCGCAAAAAGAGCCACGGAAGCCGCTCGCAATTCATGGTCGTCCTGAGAAGAGTGAGAGAAGGAAGTCAGCCATGAGCAGGATTTGGGGGCGGGGGGATGGAGGGAGGGGGCTGGTTGGTTTTCAGGACCTGCCTTTCTATGGCTGGGGTGAACCAGCGATTTTAACACCTGAGGCTCCCATCAGGGACTCCACCTGACCCGGAAAACGCAGGGGGAAACAGGGATAAATGGAACTCGAAGCGGCCACCTCTGGTTTCCCAACACCCACTTCATGGGGGCAGTGGGGAGAACACAAAAGGGGGCCTGGCCCTCGTCTTTTAGCAGAACGGCTGCCTTGTATGATCTGTTTGTGTGGGAGGATGAATTTTCCTTGGGGGGTAGCAGCAGCAGGAGGCAGTCCAGTGGAACTTCAGAGCTTGCAAAATAAGCCATGGGGGGGGGGCTGATTCTTGCCCTTGTCCACGGCTCCGAATTGCACACGAGTGCATGTAAACTCTACGGAAGGAGGCAGCCCCACCCCGCCCCCTGTCCGGCTGGGATCCTCATAAATGCATCGGCTATTGCGCAGCATGATCTGTGGACACCAAAACACTCTGTTATAGGCTGCCCCATTCCTGCAGATGGCGGGCGAGCCCGGTTGCTTGCAGGGGACCAAGCACGCCGCTCCCCAGAGTGTGGACTTACATCGCTAAAGTGCATCACGAGGCGGGGGATGAGGCCGGTCCCCATGTACCCGAATTCGTTCACATCCAGGTGTTGGAACATGTGTTGGAGGGTCTTAATGGACTCTTTGCCGATATTCCAGTCTGGATCGGAAGCACAGCTGATCAAGGGAGGGAGGAGAGGCTCTAGAATCTCATCCTGAAGGAAGGGAAAGGGAGGGAGGGAGGAAGGAAGGAAGGAAGGAAGGAAGGAAGGAAGGAAGGAAGGAAGGAAGGAGACAATTAAACACGGACCTTAAGCAGGGAAGACAACCCTGGGCTAAAGGCACACATACAGCATAGTCTGTGCTCTTGGTTTTTAATCTGATCTTTACAGGATGCCGAACCCTGTCCTTTAACATTGACTAAAATCCAGAGGTTGCTCGCTTAGGCGAGTCCTAAATCCCAGACCTCGAAGCTGAAGAGGCCTTCTCTTTCATCTGCGGGCCTCCTCCCATTCCTCCCGGCAATCTCACCCCTACAGAGGAAAACCCTCCAGCTCCTGCAGGGAATCCGGTTACCTCCAGGGGATGTTGCAGAAGGTGTCCGAGCCCTCGGATACTGAAGACCTGCATGAGGGGGTTGGGTTGCACCATCCACTCTCGCAGGACCTCCAGAATGTCTTGCTTCACGAAAAAGAGGCTGATCTCTGAGTAAGAAAGGAGCTGAGAAAGAAAACTTCATGAGCAAGGCCAAAGACCTGGACTGGTAAGAAGGCAGAGACACAAGCTACAGGAAGCCCAAATTACAGGCTGAATATGACTTCTCATATTCGCAGTATAACATACTTCGCAGTACGACGATAGAATCCATGACCTAGGAAGGTGGTGAGCGCTCCAACGTTGGAGGCCTTCAAGAGAAAAACTGGACCACCTTCTGTTCAGATCTGCTTGGATTTGGGTTCCTGCCTTAATTAGGGGGTTGGACTTGATGGCTTTTGGGGCCCCCCTTCAGACCCCATTATGCTATGGTTCCGTGATTCTATGATTTTACATAAAGCAATGTTAAGGAAGAACATTTAAAACGATGTCACAGATAAGACAGAATATTAAAAATGAGGGCCTCTCGTTAATCACCGGTGAAATGAGAACGAAAGCAATAAAAACATGATAAAAAAGGGTTACAGTTCGCAATCTTTGATTTTTGTTGTTCCTGATTTTTGTCCTTTCTGATCTTATGTCTCCGAGACATTTAATTCATTTCTGTTGCTCTAGATTGCTCAGGAACAAAGGGCTGAATCCCAGGGGATAGTCCCCAAAATAAAGTCACCGAATCAGTGGCCCTCACATAAATCTCGACCAGCCTCATTCATTCAATGGGTCTAATTTTAACGACAGAACCAAAGAAGACAAGCGACTTTGTAGTTGGAAATGGAGCTGTCTTAAACCATAAAGGATGTGTGGTTATCTTCCTACATTGTCCTACAGAGCTGTAAGTTGCTTGGTTTGGGTGGTTAATCATCGGGTGTTAAGACACCAGGCTTGTTTGTATGTTGCTTAACCAAACATGGTAGCTTTGGAGAACCAATGCTTGCAAACCTTTGATTATTTTTCCTAAATGGACAGCTGCTTATTTCAGCTCTTTCCTTTCCTAGCTGTGATTAACAATTGGACTTTGCCTGTTCACGGGATTTTCTTTCCTGTTAATTTATTTGTCCTGGATTATATTTGGCTTCAATTTACACCGGCCACAGCCCTGTTGGAAGAAAGCATGTGTGCAGAACAGTAATATTTTTAAAGTGTTCTCCACTCCTTGATGGAACAAAACCCACTGAATGCTTGTGAAATTATTCGCACCATGGACATCCCTCCAAAGAGTGGGGATTGCTTGTGTAATTATGGTTCCACGCTGTCTGCTCCCCATAGAATTCTGGCTGCTGTTTTTAATTCCAAATAATTCGGGGTTTTTTTTAAAAAAGAGAAATTAAAAAGCAATTGCAAATATGCAGTACCGTAGGACCCCTGCATCTGTGTGGGTGTGTGGGTCGGTTCCAAGCCGCCCCCCTCCGGCAGATGCTGAAAAACATGGGATTACAGTATGTATAGCAAAGGCTATTATAATAGCAAATGCAATACATAGCATGGTCTATGGCTCTCTCTATTGGCCAGTTCTGGTAACTTCATTGTTACAGAAATATATTTTGGGGACTTTCCTTTTAATATTTTTAATACTTTCAGATCGTGGATAAGTGAATCACCAGATACCGATCCTGTGGACAAGGGGGTCCTACTGTATAGATAAGATCCGAATCACTGACACGATCAATAAAAAAAGGAAAAAAATTGACATAAAATAAGCATAAATGAACATTAGCACATAGTAGTCGTCGGAGGCTTCGCGATCAATCCGTTTCAAAACATTATGAAATCCTTCCGTAGAAATGTGTGCAGATGTGCACATGTGGCAAACCCCTGGCAGATTGCAACACACACACACGCCCAGCTTCCTAAGGGTCCAGATTCATTACCAGCTTCCAGGTCTTACCTCGGCGAAGAAGGCCATTCCTACAGCCCTCTCCTTGGCATCAGGACGGCGCAAGTATGCGTTGGCCTGTTTGAAAGTCATCTTGAGGTGATATTTGGAGAATACAAACAAGATCCTGGAGACAAGGAACACCAAATGCAAAAAACGATCGTTAATTTGGGGTGTGTGTGCGTGTGTTAGCATGCAGAACCATTCAGCTCTACTATCCACCGCATATGTAAGCCAGGGCTCCCTCCCTCCCTCCCTCCCATCTATTCCTATTCCGCCCTTCATGCAAAGCCCAGCACAAGCTAACAATATTAAACCAACATTTAAGTACAATAATAGGAAAGACTGAAAGAGCTGGGCATGTTTAGCCTGGAGAAAAGATGTCTGAGGGGAGATAGGACTGCACTTTCCAAAGACCTGAAAAGCTGTCCTACAGAAGAGGGGCAGGATCCGATCTCGGTCATGCCAGAGTGCAGGACACGTAACAACTGATTCAAGCTACAGGAAGCCAGTTTGAGGCTGAATGTAAGGGGAAAAAAACCCTTCTTAACTATTAGAGCAGTATGACAATGGAGCTAACGACCTCAGGAGGAGGTGAGTGCTCCAGCGCTGGAGGCCTTCAAGAGAAAACTGGAGAGTCCTCTGTCAGATCTGTTCTGATTTAGATCCCTGCCTTGAGCAGGGGGTTGGACTCGATGGCCTTTTGGGCCCCTCCTGACTCCATTATTGCATGATTCCATGATTCTATAAATAAATATCTGATAACACCAATAAGCAATCAGGTAAAGGTAAAGGTTCCCCTTGACAATTTTTGTCCAGTTGTGTTCGACTCTAGGGGGCGGTGCTCATCCCTGTTTCCAAGCCATAGAGCCAGCGTTTTGTCCGAAGACAATCTTCCGTGGTCACATGGCCAGTGCGACTTAAACACGGAATGGCATTTGAATTTGACAACAACTCCCAGATAGACACACTTGCTAGCGTACCTGCATCTTCCTCCAGAAAACGCACGGTGTCCACATGTCCCACTCTTTATGCCCAATTGTGGTTTCTCCTTGCTTGCTACTCAAGGACATGAAACGCACCCTGTCAGATCACAACTGGGTTGGGTTGGAAGGGGCCTTATAGGGCTATCAAGTCAACCCCTCCCTTAAATGCCAGAATCCAAATCAAAGTTTAGCCTTCTAGGCCCCTTCCAACTCCATGATTCTAGGGTTCTAGGACTCCTGATTCCTCGACTCTCCCAGCTGCTGAGGAAACTGGTGAGGAAGATGAATTAAGGAGAGGGCAAAAAGGGCAAAAGTCCAATCAAATTTCTTAGCATGTCACCAATGCTCAGGGAAAGAGGTGACGGTTAGTCTGGCTTTGGAATGCCAATAAAATGGCCCTTGTGTCGGTACTTTCTGTGTCAGGGTGCCACCCCAAAGAAGGCCTTGTCCCATCAATGTACTTTTTATGACGATGGGGCAACAAGCTGAAAAGGTGGTGGCAGATCCCTTTTTGAGAAAAAAAAAAGTCAGTCATGGAACAGGGAGAGCAGTGTAGGTGAGGTAGTCATGAACCCCACCCCCTGGTTTCCTGCAGAGAGCTCCTCGCGTCCTCTACGACAGGCTCTCCGGACTTTGAGTTTCTTACCTTACCAGTTTGAAAATGCCTTCAAAGTAATTCTCTGGGGTTGACAACATTTCCCAGCAGCCTTGCATCCCCATGATGTTGTACTCCTTGATGTAGCCAGCGCACGCAATGAGGTTTTTGAGCGCCTGCAGGGTAGTGCTGATTCAAACAAAGGAAGAAGCATCAGCAATTTTTAGCGTCTATACATTACTGAAACAGCGACGGCTAGGTTGGCTTGGGCATGTCGTGAGAATGGCTGACGGTCAGATTCCAAAGGACCGCCTGTATGGAGAATGAGTGCAGGGAAATCGCCCCAGAGGGAGACCCCAGCTGTGATACAAGGAGATCTGCAAGCGGGATCTGAAGGCCTTAGGAATGGACCTCAACAGATGGGAAACATTGATCTCTGAGCGTTCAGCCTGGAGGCAGGCGGTGCATCATGGCCTCTCCCAATTTGAAGAGATCGTTGTCCAGCAGGCTGAGGCCAAGAGGCCATCCTGAAATCAGCTAAATCAGGGAGCTGGACAGGGGACAGATTGGATTTGTCTTCACTGTGGAAAGGATCTTTGTCACTCTCAAATCAGCTTTCTCAGCCACACTGGACGCTGTTCCAAGTCCTCCATAAAGAGCACGTGACCATCGTCTCTCGAGACTGAAGGATGCCCAATCAGCACCGGCACTGACTCCACCTGGAGTCACTGAAGAAAATCAGCTTGCACATCCTTCTGCTTAAGCCTGTGATTAGTAGATCTGATTTTGGTCCAGCCGACTGCTGCTCAGTGACCCTTCCCGTTCTGCCCTCTGACTGGGACTTCAGAAATACAGTAGAAGGGGAAAAGCGTGGATGGGCTGCTGGTGGGCTATGCTCAGTTTGGTTGACTGCAGGCTGTATAGGCTTCTATCGAGGAGAAATTGAACCTCTCTTTTTAATTTAAGAGGAGGAAAAGAAAAAAGAGAATGATAATACTCCTGAGGGTTACAGAATTAAGGGCTGAGTGCCACGAGTAAACTCAGATTTTGTTTGCATCCCCTTTTTTTCATAATACAATAGTATCCCTATATCCAGCTGGGGGCTGGTTGGTTCCAAGCTCCTACAGATACTGAAAACTGTAGATAATCACAAACATTATACATAGCATGGTAAAAGAAAAAGAAATCCAGAAAAATCCAGTTCTGATAAATTGTTGATGTTGTTTAGCTGTTGTGTCCAACTCTTCGTGACCTCGTGGACCAGAGCATGCCAGGCCCTCCTATCTTCCACAGCCTCTGATAAATACATAGTGAAAACATATATTTTTTGTGTTTTTCCTTTAATATTTTCAAATCATGGAGAAGTGAAATCATAGCAATCACTCCCATCGATACAGGGGTCCCACAGCTTGAATGGAGTCCATGAAAAAAGAAAAGAAAAGGAAATTGAAAACCAAAGAAAAGGGGCCAGTGGGATCAGAATCCTATTGACCTTTTACACTGGCATAAATGCAGTGGCATAAATTTTACCGGCAAATTGCCACTCTTTAACAAGTTGCTGGCGGTATCCTTTGCCTGGATTGGTGACTGGTACAAGCGTCACCCTGTTAACAGCAGCAGTTAGCTGGGATTGATGCAACTGCACTTAACGCCAGTGTCTCTAACCAACAAAATGGAATCTCCCGCCATCAGCATCGCTGGTGGAGATGACCAGGCAAGCCCCTTTGAAAGAAAATTGGAAAGGATTGCCTGGGGAATCCTTCTACCGGTCCTTCTCCGCTCTTGCGGGCAGAGAGCTGGGCTGGACAGACCAGATTTGGGAATTAAGTAACTCACAAGCAACAGGTAAGCCCATATAGACCATTACTGTGACCTCAAGTCCTTCCTGAACCCCCTTCCCTCCACCCAAATCGTTGCATTTTCCCCACCGAAAATTGAAAATTCCTGGGAGTCTCTCAGACCAGCACCTTCAGAGGGCATTGATTCACATGGGGGGCTCCCCTCTGCTCTCGTTGTATAAAAATGGAATGTCCAGTTACTTCTGGTTTTGAAAACGTGCATGCGGGTGGGGGAAAGAGCCTTTTCAAAGAGGATGTGGCCTACAGAAGGTCCTAGAGGAAAAATTGGCCTCTGACCCTTCAACGCTCCTCTACTCTTGAGACAGACTCGGTACGCTTTGCCCCACATGCATTAGGAGCCTGGGTAGACCAGCAGGGCCTTGCTCAGGGTTACAGGTCAGGTCTACCAGCACCCAGACAACTCCATGGTTGCCAAGATGTTTCCTACCTCAGAGGAGAGGGATGTGGAAGGGTGTCCGTAGGAACACTTGGCCTCTTGGAGCTTCTCCTGCCCGTCCCAAGAACGAAATAGATCTGAGTCACCAGTGCAATGAGCAGGTGGGAGAATTTGTTTTGCAATGTATCGGCGGCGTCCGGTAAAGACAGGATGAGACACAAAGCGTTGGTGGCCTAGAGGAGTGAGAAGAAGAGAAGGCCATTCAGTAGAGTCCGTCTTGACCCAAAGGCCGTTGAAGGCAACCTCCTTCTTCCACTGAGCGATCCAGAAAGTCGTCAGAAGAAACATGCCTTCTGTGATGGAGTTGAAGCAGTATAGGAGATGTAGTCAGAGAAATGTAAAATGGAGTCAGACAGGTTCTGTGTGAAGATGATTTGAGAGACACTGGAATGTGTTTTTTCCAAGTGCTATGAGAGTGTTTTTCTGAAGACTGGTACAGCGTGGTTCGAGATAGGGCTGAAGGTCGAATCGAGAAGCCCATGGAAGACTCAACATTCTGAGCTAATTGGAGAAGAATTAGCACCTGCAACACCTGGAGTTTCATGAGAATTAAGGGAGGAGGAAGGTGTTACAGCCCCTTGAGACTAATTGGTTAACAGCCAGAATTGTCAAGAAGAAGGAAGGAGTTAGAGAATGTAGAAAATGGACGATGGGTTATGTGAGAGGAAGGGACATCCAGTTTTGATCTGGGATTCGATTCCATAATGATGGGAGAGAAAGGAGCTTGATTGAGAGAGGATGTAAGTAAACAGAAAGAAAGAGGTGGGGCCAGCCCACTGTAGCCCACTTTAATAGTGTTTATTATTTTAATGGGGATTAGTTATTTTATTTAACTCTAATGATATTTGAATATGTTCTTTATGCTAAAATTTGAGCAATATAAACTGTTTCTATGAAACCCTATTTTTCTAATAAAAATTAATTATAAAAATCCTTACAAAGGACTGGTCTCTTGAACAGCAGGGTCTGGCTAAATCCAGGAGGTGGAGAGGGCCACCTAGCTATCTTTAAGAGTCCTACTTAACTGAGCTGTTCTAAGGAATCACAAAGCCCATGTGTCAGTACTTGCAAAGTACTGGGTAAAAGTAAAGTGTTCTTTTAAGGTCAGACTTGTTTAAGGAGCTTACACTATGCACTGCTGAGGTCTTGGGACTTGCCTCAGCACAAAGGTGGCAGGTAAGTGGCCTGATGAACTCTCTGACCGAATGCTAAGTGCTCCTTAGGGAGACCTGAGCATCACATGGTGGCAACGGTGGGATGTACGATCTGAGCTGTTGAGAGATACCTCGTGTTGAGCATCACACCTTCTTATAAATGTCAAAATTAATCCTATTATAGAAGAGAACGGGGAAGGGTTTTGTACCGCCATCGGCATGATCGACTTGCTGTGCCGCCTGTAGGTGACTTCAGAAAGGGGGTCTTCATCCTGCAGCCTTTTCAGCAGGGGTCTCATGAGCTTGATGCTGCAATACGGATCGGCCACCAGTGCCTTCCAGATCTCTGCCACAGTGCTGCAGATTTTGAAAAAAATAAAAATAAAGAAAAGTTGTACAATTGGAGCCCCTTGATCCCTGATCCACTGGATCAGGATCTGCTGATTTGCTTATCCATGACCTGAAAACATTAAAAATATTAAAGTCTCCTCCCAAATATTTTTAAGGAGGATGTTACCAGAACTAGCCACTCGTTTTTTCAGTATCCACAGGGGCAGGATTTGGACCTGATCCCCTGTGAAGATGGATGTCCTACTGTGTTGCCTTTATATTCCTGTTGTCTCAGCACCACAAAATGACAAAAAGAGCAATATTTAATTTTGACTGCCCCAATTTGCTTTTTTTTGGTATCTGTTCCTGGTGATCTGCACCATGTTACATCTGATGTATAGAACAATCCATCCATCAGTGATAAGGGAGAGGATCCAGTGGCACATTTGCTTTTTGGTGAGAACACCATGAGGATTCAAGCAAGTACTACTCAGTTTTGGTTCCTTCCTCCGTTTAAATCTTTCTCCTGGTCCTGCCCAGTCTAGTTTTGCAGGAATTAGCCTGATAGAACCTCAAGCGTCTCAAGAATCTTCATTCCTGCTTTTTTCACCGTGGCTATGAGAAGTATGAAGCTAGCATGTGTTCCCTGGAAACCAATCTCAGTTTGTTGCTATATCTGAAACAAAGAAAGTGTGGTTTGTTTAAACCAGGGCTGGGCAGAGTCAGTCTTCTGGATCCCACAACATGTTGTTGGATTGCTTCTCCCAGCATTCGTCACTATTAGCCACCTTGGCTTGGGTTGAGGGTTGTTGCAGTCTAACAACATTTAAAGGACTGCATTTAAACCATAGTTATCCCGACCAGTAGCTGGACTGTGGTGCCTCAGCCAATGGAGGGCCGGGGCTGGCAGCCAAGCCATGATCACCAAACATTCCCTACGACATTATGCCACCTGTTTCCACCTCCTGCCTGCATACACTGGCTGCTCTTCAACTGGTTTGGTCAACCATCCTCATCCTCTTAGACCTACAGAGCTAGAAGGGACCCTATGGATCACATTCTTCAAATGGCTTGGTCAACCATCTTTATCCTCTTAGACCTGCAGAGCTGGAAAGGACCCTGTGGATCATCAAGTCCAGCCCCTGACAAGGATGCATCCCAGGGGAATCGAACTCCCAACCTCTGGCTCCACAGCCAGATCCCTAGGACACCCCTCCGCTCCCCCTCACTTCAAAATATTTGTTCCTCGGCTTCAGCCAGTCTTTCAGAAACACCCCCCCCCACTGATGCTAAAGTAGGCTTTTAAAAAGACTGATTGCAGCCCGAGATGCTTTGTGGAGTTGTGTTGCTGTGGCTGGAACAGTTTGCTCTCCCCAATGTTGGAGCCTCATCCTCATTGGTCACCAGAAGAAACAGAAGGAAACAGGCTAGCACACTCCTTCCTCACTTATTTGACCAGCGAGAAATGCAAAACCTGAAGAGGGCTTTCCATAAGGGCATCCACGTTAGCCCATTGCAGTAAAAACCAACAAGGTCTTGTGGCTCCTTAAAGACCAACAAGCTTCCTTCGGCGACATCTTTCATGGTGCACAGCTTCCTTCTCTAAAGGAGGCCACGAAAGCTGAAGCTAACGGCAGCTTGTAACTCTGCAAAGTGCCACAAGACGTCCTGCTGGAGAGGGCTTTAATCCCACCCAGTGTCATGTTACAACCTCAGCCACTGTCCCACGTGACCTGTGGTTCATGAAATACTGGCCCACTGGGCCGCTGAAGAGGGCTCAAATCCCACCCAGTGTCATGTCACAACCTCAGCCACTGTCCCAGGCAGCCCACGTGACTTGTGGTTCATGAAATACTGGCCCACTGGGCCACCAGCAGACTTCCAGCCTTGTTGAGATGTGGTCAAGGCATCTGTGTTGCCCAACGAGGGTTATTAAATGACTGGAATAAAACTGCCTTGGTTTGTTCCTTGGCTGTTTAAAAGCAGCTGGATTTGCTAGATCAGGTGGAAAAGAGACAAAAGATTATCTTGTGAGATAGCACTGAGGATAGCTCAGTGGGATAGCTCAGCTGCAGAGCCAGAGGTTGGGAGTTTGATTCCCCCCACGGGTGGGCCTCCTTGACAAGGACTAGACTCAGCGATCCACAGGGTCCCTCCTAGCTCTGCAGTTCTGAGATATTGATGATGATGATGATGATGACTACCTACTATGATCTACTGATGAGTTTGTCATCTGAGATATCGATGATGATGATGATGACTATCTACTATGATCTACTGATGAGTTTGTCATCAGTGGTGCACCAGCTAAAGATCTGATAAAATCGGTCAACTCTATCGTGCATCTGGCTCAGAAGGAAGTGGCCAAATTGCACAGTGCGATTGATGGTCCACACGTGACTTTACAGGCCATCAGACTATTTGAAAAACTGCTCCCTAGCGAAGTGGATGTGGTGGAAACCATGGAAATGTTTTGATCAAGCCCAAGTCTGGGTCAGGCAGTCCCTGTGGCGGAGTTTGCTTAAAGCCAACCTCTCCCCCCGCCCAACACACCAATGAAAACATTATGGAGAGAGGATTGGCTCCTCTCCTTGAAGACCATACTCATCGCATTCCACCGAGCATTCCAGGAGGACGTCCACCACCCCGTTCAGACGTTTCGAGGCGAGGCTGCACACTGCTTTCAGGGTCTCTTCTTTGGTAACGGGGTCGTTGACGTTCATGAGGTGGCTGTAAATTTCCTTCACAATGATGGGAAGCTAAAAGAAGACAAAATGGATCAGAAGGATGGAAATCTGTCTCCTGCCTCCTGTCTCACCATTCAGAGCAGCTGGTCTCCCGGCGGGCCCTCCTAGACCAAATTAGGATACCATCCCAGTGCCAATGGTAAGGGACTCCCTACACCTATATGAACAGAACCACTATTGGACTGGGTACCTTCCACCTGTATGAATAGACCTGCTGGACAGCTCAGTGGTTTGGGCATCTGGGTTGGGAGTTCGATTCCTCACTTGCCTCCTTGACAAGGTGACAAGACTCAATGCTCCATAGAGCTTCCAGCTCTGCAGTTCTATAATAATAATAATACTTTTAGAAATTATTATTATTCAAAGAATACCAGGCACAGGCAATCAAAATTATAAAAACATTGACTGGTATTATACAACAGATACAAGTTTTAACCAAAAACCTAAGTATCTGTTAAATATCAGAGCAGTATGTATGCTGTTCCTAATATTGCCATCTTTTGTATCTCTGATGGTCTGATTTCTGAGATCTGCAACTGCTTATAGTACGGTGTGAAATTTCTTGATATTGTTCCCAAAGCCCCAATGACGACGGGGACCACTGAAGTATGTTTCTTCCAGAGGTGAGATGTTTTGATGGCCAGGTCTCTGTCCTTGTTAGTTTTTCCAATTCTTTATTTTCAACTCTGGCACCCCCTGGAATTGCAAGGTCAATGATCCAGACTTTTCTCCGTCCTATGACTATGAGAATGATGTCTGGTGTACAGTCGTGCCCCACTTTATGATAACCCCGCATTATGACGAATCCGCTTCACGACGATATTTTTGCGATCGCTTTTGCGATCGCAAAATGATGGTCTAAATAGGTTTTTTTTTTCACTTTGCGATGATCGGTTCCCTGCTTCAGGAACCGTTTCTTCGCAAAACGATGTTTTTTTAACCGCTGATCGGCGGTTTCAAAATGGCCACCAGGAAATTAAAATGGCTCCCCGCTGTGTTTAGGGTCGGATTCCTCGTTATACAGGCACCAAAAATGGCCACTGTATGGAGGATCTTCGCTGGACGGTGAGTTTTTAGCCCATTGGAATGCATTGAACGGTTTTCAATGCGTTTCAATGGGCTTTTTATTTTCGCTTTACGTTTTCGCGTAACAGCGATTTTCCTGGAACGGATTATCGCCGTTAAGCGAGGCACCACTGTATTATGTTCAAGGTGTCTATCTGTTTGGATCCGGAAATTCCACAATATCTAGACTTCATACTACTACTACTGACAACAACAACAGCAACAATTATAATGTTTTAGAAGCAATCAACAGAAGAGGCAGAAAAAAACACCAAGCGTAGTGCCTCAGCACTAATGGGAACAGAATACAAATTTAATAAATAAATAACTCAGTCACTCACTCTGATTTTGGCCAATGGGTAAGAATGGGATTTTTAAAGAAAAACTGTTGTTGTTGTTGTTGATTTGCCATTATGGGTGTTCTCCCTCACAGGGAGGCTCCTGATAAGACAGCTGAATGTGGTTCACCTGGGACAGAGGCCTAAACTGGAAGGATTGGAGGCTGAGCTGTGCCTAGTTTCCTGTCGAGAAAGAAAGCTCCCAGCTAGCACTGGGGCAGGAACAGGAAGCTAGGCCTCAAAGCTTTCTAGTCTAGGCCTTTCTCCCAGGAGAACCACATTTTGGTATCTGTAAGGCATCTATCTATCAGACAGAAATCCCAGAATAGAGAATTATGGGATCTGTACTCAATAAAAATAAAAAAAAATCTGAAAATCGTGCCACTAAGTTCTGCAGTGTTCTAAGACCTCACTGAAACTCCAATCCACTGAAGCCTAGCAGTGTGGTTATGGGGATGATGGGATACCTTTCATGCCTACCTTTTGTATTTCCTGAATTTTGTCACTGAATTTTGGTGGCGACGGTGTGCGGTCCGCAATGGAACAAATACTGTACGGGCCTTCAGAGCCTCTGGCATTTCCCAGCACAGTTACGAATGGTTTCTACGCACTTAATTTCAGGAACTTGGTGGCTAACTATGGCTAAGACCCAAAAGGAGCCTTTTGATAGGAATGCATTTTTACTGGCATGAGTTGCATTTGCTGACATATTTCTGAATTAAGTGGACTTAAGGAAAGGCGGCCAATGTGACACTATTGGGCTCCGAGCTTGTCAACCCTTCTGGCTGGCTGCAGCATGTGAAGTGGAATCGAGGTCGAGAAAACTCCGAAAATGGTGATCAACTGTCCTATTTCGTTAAGCACAAGGAGAAAAGATGTGAGTTGTGTTAATCAGGTCCACCTTTTAGGGTCCACTGGACAGAAGACCGGTGGAGACATGGACTGGACCAGAGTGCTGTTACTTGGCCTCTGGAATGGACCACTGACCTGTGGAACGGGTCATTTATGGCATGGCATCAAGGACAACTTGGGTTTGATTCACAGGCAGCAGAACGGTCCTTTTCCTGTTGGCAAAGAGGGCTGAGGATGGATCCCAGCCTGGACCTTTTCCATGATGGAAGGAGTGGGAAAAAAAGACAAGCTACGTGACTGCTGTGGCAGGAAGGGCTGACCTGGAAGACAAGGGAATGGTCTGGACAGGCTACAAGGTCGAACCCTTTCAATGGCTCCAGGCCCAGAATGTACCCTGATAAGATGCTACGGTCACATGGTCCTCCGCAGGACAAAAGGATGATTCACTTTCTGGCAATAAACTTACCATCCTCTACCAACACGGAACTGAATTTTAGGAGTGAAGGTAAGGAAGCCAAGCCAGAGTGCTGGAAAATTAGGAGCGTGAGACTCAGGCTTAGAGACACATCCGTCCACCTTTGCATCCATGCTCACTCGCGTGGAGATCCTTTTTTTTGGTTCAATTTTTTAATGTAATCTTTGCTTATGCAGATTGTGACAGCTCTGGGGCTGTTGGGCCTTAGTTTGCCTTGATTCTGGGAGAAGTTTCAGTGTTAACAACGGGTTAGATGAATCCTTCTGGCAGATTCTACACCTCCCTTGCTCTCCCTCTCTCTCTTACTGTTTTATTTTACATTTTTCCTTTTGATTTTCTGGATCCATTCTCCGGCACATTCTCCTGAATCTTCAGGAATCTGTTCCATGGAACAGTTCGCTGTATGGTGTTCTTTCTTGATCTTATAGTCCAAAGTGCTGAAAAATTAGTGAGTTTCAATTAGAGGTCTGGGGGAGGGTTTGGGGCGAATATAGTGGTTTTATAAAGGACTAACTGTGGCTAATTTTGCATAACTCTATTTTCATCTGGGACTTTAATACTGGTTGGTCTGCTTTGCACTTTTAATTTCACTGCTGCGTTGTACTATGTTAGAAATCCATTGATTTTACTTTTATTTCTCTTAGACTGTGTTTTCATTTTGTAGATCTTATTCCTTGTTTATCTGCTCTGATTTAAATAAATCTTTAAGTTAATTGCACCTGTGGATAGCCTCAGGTCATCCTTGGTTCCACTTCTGCCCCCCCTGGGGGCAAATAAAGGACCTCTTTTTCAAGTTGGCGGCAGAAACAGGTTCTTTATAGCAGTTTGAGCTTAAGGTGGCATGTATTTGGGTTAGGTTTTTGTTTGTTTGGGTTGGAGTTTTACTTGCAGCTTTGCATGCTAACAGTAGTTTGTGTATCTGGGAAGGACTTTTCTGACTTTCTGATTGTGTATCTATCCAGCACTATCCAATGGTTCCTTCCAGCCCTTGAATTCAAAGAGAGCCCTGCCTCTCTACTAAGTGCTTTCTCCCTTGCTTTAGTAGTCTGTTGGATGCAGTTGTTTGTTTGCTGTTGACCTGTTCAGTTGGTTGCTAAATACGGCTACAGTAAAGGGAGCACTGAAGAAAGCCTGTTAGTGAGAAAGAGGTAGACTCTGGAGAACTTCTAGCTATTCTCCTCTGTGGATATCTGTACCTCGACTGTATAGCCAAAAGGGATTTTACCAGAAATTTAAATCCCGGCAACATTTTTTCCCCTGAATCCATGTCCCGTCCTTTCTTCCTAGAAGCTAAGAAATCTTGCTGCATTGTTCTGTTGTTTCTTGATCATCTGTGAAACATCCCTGTAAGGCAGGCCAGGTCGAGAGACCATGGCTGGCCATGGTGACCTGACAAAGTGGCTGAGCAGTAACCAGAACCCCTTGCCTGCCTAGTCCCAGACCGAGAGAGAAACAGCCAGCGCTTACTGCCCCAGGCCAATGGTTTGCCTGCCTGCTTCACCCCCCTGCCCACCCCTTTGGCCTCTTACGTCCTCCAGGTCCATCCCGCATTCTTCCAAGAAGGAGCTAAGCAGGACCCCGGCAGCCTGGGAAATGGCTTTGTCTTCATGCGTGAGGCTGCTGATGGTCTTGAGTGAGAGATCGGTGACCTGGTTGGTGGAGAGATGCTCCCCAAAAGCCTGCCACAAAGGAGAGAAAGAGGTGGGTCAGGGGGCTTCCCTTCCCCTTCCAAGCCTTCCTGTTTCTCTGCAACTCAAGCGCTCCCTCTAGGATCCCCTGACCAGGCAGGTTCTCCACCCATGGCTGGAGGGTCTGTTTAGGGGGCCCCATCAGTAGCTCTGAGCTGGACGCTCATCTGTTCTTGGAACAGGGCAAAAACATGACGTCCCGTGACTGACGGCCATACCACAGACTCAGATCTATTGCAGCTTTTCTCTCTGAGCGCCGCTCTTCCTGTTTCTCTGAGCACAAAGCAAAAATTCTTAAACTACCCAAAACCGGGCTGGTATTTTTTTTTTTCAGCTGGGCTGTGTGACTCTCCTGGGGCCAGCTGAGGAAAATATATGTTGGCCAGAATCTCACAGGTTCCTGCGTCTTGCTGCAGTGAATGACAGCTAGTTGACAAACAGCCCAGGTGCATTTGGCTTGCGTACCTGGCCGTGCATCCGGTTGCATGACCCAGACACACGGCCATTGCCTTGGCGATGAGCCACAATTAGCCGCTGCATGTCAATGACGGAAACGCCCGCAGGATTTTGACCGGAGAACAAAAGACACTTAGCAGGCAAACTTTGAATGAAACAGGAACAAAGGTCCAATCACACAGTAAGGAAAAGGTGTACAGTAGGACCCCATTATCCATGGGATCGGTATCTGCTGATCCCTTATCCATGGTCTAAAAAATTAAAAGAAAAATCCCGCAAATATATATATTTCTGATTATGAAGTTACTAGAAATGACCACAAGAGGGAGCCAGAGATCAGGTACATACATCATTCTTTCAATGCTCCATCAGATTTGGAAATGACGCCCCTATTTACCTCCTGACAGCCAATCACAAAACAAAAGCAAACCAATTTGCAGCATGAGGTCAGGCTGTGAGCTTGTGATGATGATACAAGCCCTGTTGGCTGGCTTTTCCCATCTCTAGTTCTGGCCCAAGAAGAAAAGCCAGGAAAAAGCAAGATCTTATCATCTATTCCCATAGCCATACCTTTGCCACTTTAGAGAGGTTGTTGTAAAAGATGCTGGGTCCAGGAATGAAAAAATCTTCTCGGTACCATTTCACGATATTCCCTTTCTTATTCCTGCGTTTCTTCTCCATGGCTTTAGCTAGACAGTTTTGGGTTGGTTTCAGGGGTAAAACACAGCGTTATTAACTCCTGCCCACTGCCTCCCACTGTTCAACTGCGGACTGCCTTGTTTTTTCCCCAAAAGTGGCCGAACAGTGCAAACCTGTTTGTGCCGCTGAAATCCTGGGCATGGAAACCCTCTGGGACATAAACTAGGTGAGAACTCAGTGGGAAAGGATGCGAAAAGTGTAAAACAACAACAACAACATGGATTTTTTTTTTTAAAAAAAATAGATTTGATTTTAAGAAAAAGACACAAGTTACTTCTAAATCTTTTTCCAGCTTGAGACCTTCAAGGATGGGGGCAGTCTAAGCATCTACCTCTAGCAATGCAATGCTTGGGAACAGAAGAATTTTAACATTACATGAAGGCTTTTGGTGGAAATAAAATCAAGGACGGTGGGAATAAAGCAGCTGTCATGTTCACTGTGTTTGCCCAGAGATTCTGGGTGCGTGTAGGGCCCGGACACCCAAGGTAAAGGGCTGGGTTCAATTAGGGCTTCTGTCTGTTGCACCCTCACCGTCATCCCCATAAACTATTGATGAGATTTGCAGCTGCTTTCCAGACTCTACCTAAAGTTTGGCCACCGCAAAACCCTCGTCCTCCTGGAGAGAAGAGACAAGTTGGGGTTCCACAAAGTTCTGTCCTGAACCTGGTGTTGTTTAATATCATTATAAATGATCTGGTTGAGAGCATGAAGGAGGGAGGAGAACGAAATTGGATGCACCTCCAATTTTCAGACGACGCCAAACTGATAGGCGTCGTTAATACAGTGGTGCCTCGCTTAACGAGCGCACCGTATAACGACGAAATCGCATAGCGATGCGGTTTCCGCGATCGCTAATGCGATTGCTTACCGATGGCCCCAATGGGCGAAACTCGCATACCGACCTTCGCTTTGCGCCCCGCGGATCAGCTGTTCGGCAGGTCCAAAATGGCCACCGGAACAGCTGAAATGGCTACGCGCAGCGTTTTCGCGCCCTCCCCTTGCTTACCGAGGGCGCGAAAATGGCTGCCGGCTATGGGAAGACTTCGCTAAACGGTGAGTTTTCAGCCGATTTGGCTTTTTAGTTTCCAATGGCTTTTTAGATTCTGTTTAATGAAGTCTTCACATAGCGAAGGTTAATCCGGAATGGATTAACCTCGCTATGCGAGGCACCACTGTACTTCAAAAGACAGAATCAGAATTCAAGGTCACCTTCGTGTTTTGGAGCCCTTGTCCGAAAGGAACAAAATGAGTTTCAATGAGAAAATTTTTGAAGTTCTTCCTTGAAAAAAGAAGAAGACCAGATGTATAGATGCAAGATGGGTGATAGCAAGCTTAAGAATAGTACGTGTGAAAAGTCTAACTAGACCAGAAACCTGTGTGACGAGGGTGGTGCAGCAAGAAAAGAAGTTAACGAAATTCTAGCTACATTGACAAAAGTACAGCATCCAGATCAAGCAGAGTCATAGCAACGTTCTGTTCTGCTTTGATCATATCTCCCCTGGAGTCCTTTCGACAGTTTTGGACCATACCGTTCAGGAAGGATATTGGCTGAAATGTGTAAGAAACACATCAAGATCCAAATTGATTCTAAGACTCTAGAAGAACAGTTGAGGGGGTTTGGTATATTTGGCATGGAAAAGAGAAGGGTAAGGCGGCCGTCTGTCAATATCAAGTCTGGAGACCAGGGTTCGAATCCCCGCTCAGCCATGAAAACTTCTTAAATATTTCACGTACTTGAAAAGCCCTGTTAGGGTCACTATAAGTTGTCTGGACAGCACGTAACAACAACAAATCTCAAGGAGCGTCGTGTGGAAGAATGAGTAGGTCCCCCACCCCACCTCAGTGGCTCCAGAGGGTAAGATCCAAAGGAAAAGAAGATTTAAAGGATAAGAGGAGAAGTGAGGAAGGACATCCTGAGGGGATGGGTTTTTCGACAGTGGACTGGTCGATCTTGGAAGATGACAGACTCTCCTTTGTCGGACTTTTTAAACAGGTGTGAGAGGGCTCTTATCAGGGAAGCTTTCGCTGCAAAATCAGCTGCTTTTTGAGGTCCTTTTCTGCTCTACAATCCTATCATTCTACGAATCGGTGTTGGCAAAATTCACAGGCATAGCATACACCACTGTGTGCTGTATGGATAGGTCAAAGTAGCTTCCACATTTAGGTTTTTTGGGAGAGTCCCCCTATGGTGCTGGAGAAGGCTCTCAAGAGTCCCCTGGACGGCAAGGAGAACGACCCTATCCATTCTGAAGGAAACCAACCCTGAGTGCTCACTGGAAGGACAGATCCTGAAGTCGAGGCTGCAGTACTTTGGCCATCTCATGAGAAGACTCCCTGGAACAGACCCTGATGTTGGGAAAGTGTGA